ACCGCATTTTGACAAACTGAAAATTAAACCTTCACACCAACATGTTTGCTTGAATTATATTTTACTTTAATTTAGAGCAAGAATTGATTTAAACAACAAGAATTAGAGGAAACTATGAGTTTTCAACATAAACAAAATTTGCGACCGAGACCAACTCTAACAGTTGGCATCAGATCATCGTTTCATAATCCAAACTTGATTATGGAGAAGATTGTGCTGTTTAAATCTGTGCTGCTTGGCTGTTTACCATGATTCATTGTCTTTTTATGGAAATATGGATTATTGTAAGTGTTACACAGTGTGTGTACATTGCATATTTAATAGGCCTATATAACAGTGAAACAGGTTTCAAAAGGCTCTGCTGTGAGGCTGTTGGCTCCCCGGACTCCGGAGTGTATGTCTTGCTGACTGTTTGGCTTTGTGACAAACTGCTGCAATCCATTCAGAGTCTTTTCTTTCATTTCCAGAGAAGCATTAGGACAATTGAACAGTTTTCAGTCCTGTTTTAGTATCAATAGTAAAATGTATTTGACCAACCAGAGAAAACAGGTCTTTCAGTGAAACCTGTATTGGCCATAAATATCATTCTGAAACTGTCATTAATTGATAATAATAATAATAATAATTTTGAAACTTTTCAATATAACTGTCATATACAGGATGTCACCCAGGTATATTTGCATTACAGCTCAGTATTGGCGAGATAATTTAATTATATCATTAAGCATGGCTCTAATTGTTTGCAGTATGGGTAGTTGTTACTACCTATGTGTCTTGGAACTTTTCTGCTGAACTGTAGTAAAACATTCCTCTTCAGTCTTATATATGGCGTCATTCACATGACCTCAGAGATACATGGAGAGCTACAGTAACACAGAATACAGAACACTAACAGTTACCAATAACTTCAGAGCATGTTTAACATGCAAATCCCTGCTGATCCTTTGCACAGTCAGCCCTGACTTTAGAGATGATGAAACAAAGTCGATCTCTGTGAAGTATGTGTCCAGATGGATAACCTCCTGGAAGTCTTGCATTATTGACCGATTTGGTGGACATCTACGTAGTAACACAGACATCTCAGTTCTGGACATGCACTAGATTCTTCCCAGCCATAGATGTTGGATTTGAAGTTCCTAAAATGAATTATATAGCTGCAGTCACTGTTTGTAATACTCGCTGATAACTTGTCAGGGAGACTGGAGGATACATGTTACTTAAAGGCTCACGTGTCTCTTTAAGTTTACTTAAATTCCCGTTTGACACAAATGACGCAGATGCGCACAGGAACTCTAACAGTTCCAATATTTGCTAAAGATATGACTATTGGCCGTTGCTTTCGAAGAGGTAGAGGTAGTTGAGTTTATTGATTTAACTTACCAGTAAAAAAGTTTGTTGACCTAAAGGATAAGGTCAAATACTCAAATACTACATATAAACAACGTAGGAACTCAATACTCCATAACAGCTTATTGCCACAACCTGCTGTACCACTGTGAGCATATTTTTGTCTTGATTTCATGTGTTATTGGTTTTATGTGGCTTTGTATGCATAAAGCTTTATCATTTAATTTATTTTTTAATTTAAATATTTTTACTATTGCTTGTAGTTTACCCTTTGTTTGAAGTAGTAACAACAAGAACACAAATGAAAATATTTATACTAAATATAGTTTTTAATATATTCTACTCTTGATAAGGTAGCAACAAAGAATCAATCAATCAAAACGATAAAGTTGGATGAAGTAGTTTAAGTCAACTTTATTGTGCACCATACTATTTTTGGACAGTGTGTTTAATTACTGTAATTGCCTCCAAAACCATGTGATACATATAGAGTACCACAGGTTCTGTCTTTCGAATGGTCTAGCCTTGGAGCAAAATCTTGTTTTTTGGCAGCATCAAGGACAAAAGACTTTTTGAATGTCAATTTACTTGAATTGGACTCTACCAGGTCACATCACATCGTCTCTGTTTACAGTTAGAGATATTGCATTGTTTGGAGTGTTGGTAGTGGTCGGTGGCTCTCTGTGATATACTGAGACATTAACACTAGCAGAGTTTTTCAGCACCTTTCCTGTAGCTCTGGGCCTGTTTGTCATCCTAAATGGAGTTTTCTTTCAAGTGCAGACATTTGTTTTTTGTGAGGACCCTGTAGCAATTCCCAGTGTCTCCTTGGCACATTTGTTTCATCTATTCCTCCTTTAAGAGCTTCACTTCTGACTGGTGCTGCCAACACGACCAGCCAACCAGAATAGCAATCACAAAATATATTAAGATCCACTGACTACTGTTGAAAAATGTATGTTTGAAGGAGCCCTTTGTTTGTTGCAACCTGCAGTTTTACCATTAAAAGCCACAAGGTTCCATACATTGGACACAGTATATATTTGTGAAATGGTTAGGTAAAAGTTGACTGTCAAAGACAGGTGATGGCCATAAGGGACACACATGTCTTTTAGAAGTCAGACTGACCTCGCTGTGACACTTTAGAATCTTAAAAAGAGCATGAAGGTCTGACCTAGTTACAGGATCAGCTCGGGAACATGGGAGGCTACACCAGGTTCCTCTAAAGTTTCACAAAACATGACCAATAAAAAAACACGTCTTTTACCAGTGCAGTTCCCCCTGTTTGTTACAGGCTACTGTCTGATACGTTAAATGTCACTATTTCTTGTCCATTATTGTAAAAGCCGAGTGGTTTATAATGGCTCTGGATGAACTTCACTTGGTGAGGACATATTTCTGAACCCTCACCTCTGATCCTTTGACCCACTTTGGCTTCCGGGGATAGTGATAATTTATTACCTGCAGGTTGTTTTGCTGCCAACGCCCCGAGTGTCTTTTGGGATCAGAGGGTTGGCAAAAAGAGTAAACTGTAAATATGAAATGGTGTAACTTAAGAGGAGAACATTTGCAGAATGCCTTTGGAACTTGCAACATGGAACTGGCCTCTCGCAGCCCAGTAATGTTGGCTTCTTTTAGGACCTTTGCCACACTGACCAGCCAGAGATAGCTGGCTGGTCACCAGCGGTTATTATGATGCTTGTGTAACGTAACTATTTAAGTATCAGATATTTGATGTCACCTTATGAAACATCATGGTGTGTGATAGACACAGCAACAATCTTGCAGACTCACACATCCTCAGTCAGTGGATACGGTTAGATTTCTTCCTGATCCAAAAATTCATTCTTCCACCAACTGCATTTTAAAACATATTTCCACATGTAATGGTTGAAAACCCATTTAACACATTTAATAAAATACAATTATCACATTTAGATATTTTAAAGCATGAGCTATCAGGATGTTGGCAGCTCTTTACTCATCCACTGGAAACTTCAGAATCCCATTCAACTACCAGACTGCTTTCCTGTCGCTCTTTTGCAAACTTAATTAGCCACAGACGTAAAACTAATTAGACACAGTTACTGGTTGGTGCTTCAACGGCCCAAACTCTTCTCTACAAAGAGTGATTTCTGCTATTAATGTTTATTTTTTATCACACAATCCAACACCTGCAAACAAGTCCAAACAGCTTCCTATTTCACCTCCATCATGTGCAGGGAGCCATCGGTGGGGGGTAAAAATATCTGAAATCTGTCTCAAAGCATGGTCCCTGCAGAGGACCCTGCCCCCACACCCACACAAGCGTCCTCACAGCCACCATTGGTACGTATACTGTATTTGATTAGAGGGGCCTCAGTGGTTATTGCTCTTGCCTTTATGGCAAAAAGATTGTGCATTTAAATTCCCAGTTTCTTACTGTGTGGAGTCTTAATGTTTTTCCATGCATGTGTTGGCAGGGAGGGGCTGGGGTGGTGGGGAGGGGTACTTTCTGGGGCTCTACTGTCACTACTGTAAATTGTCAATAGATATTGTATTTTATACAAAATATTATTGTTAACTTGAATAATGATATTTTAACTGTTTTATAACCCTGGTTTATTCGTTTATCTGTGCTGCTTCATGGTGATAAATTACCCACTTGTGGTTGGAATAATGTGATATTTATCTTTATTTATCTCATTGACATACGTGTATTTGAGTTGGACAAGCCAATTGAAAAAAAAATGGATGGCGAATGGTTTCCCCGGTGATACGACGGCGGTAAAACTAAATGAATAGTCATTTTATTGCACCGTGGGACCCGGGGAGTCACTGCATTGGCCCCTGTAGACTCCATCCCTCTAATACCTTTGGTTCTGTTGTAAACAGATGCGCCCCCTGCAGGCGGCTTTCGCCACCTGCTCCTCCTCCTCCTATACTCGGCTCCTCTGATTCCTCCGCTCCTCATTCACTAGAAGATGGCGGACTGCGCTCCACTGTTAGATGAGGAACTCTCGTCATTCGTCTTCAATTACCTGACAGAAAACTCCTGCAGCCAGGTAAGGGTCTGGGGTCTGAGGACGCATGGGACTTCGGGCTTTGCAGAGTGGGGAGCGTCTTTGCGTGTCGCCCGCCGTGGCGCAAGTAAATACCGGCTTGATGCAAGCCACTCTCCCCGGCTTGTCAGCAGCATCTCGCCCGGCTCAGTGCGCTCTGCTCTGTCGCTCTTTACCAGCGTGCGTGTCTACTATGTCTTGACGTGTGGCTCTTTCACGTGTGTTTGGAGGAACTGTCAACGGTCACAGTGAGTGGACGTAATGTGGATAAAATCGCGTCGGTTCCGCCGGTGATGGCAGCGTTGAGCAGCCGGCGTGTGCACGCTGTTGGCGGATTCTTTGGTATGCAGAGTGGCGCTCGTGGAAACTTTTGACGCAATCTTGAGGGAAGTTTTCATTACAGTGCCAGAGACTTGGACACGTGGTGCGCCCCTGAGCGCGTGGACTTATTCTATAGAGGACTATTGTCTGAATAAACAATAATTTGGTGGCACCTAAATCACATTTTTTGCATATAATAAGAGCAACTCGTTTAACTCTCGTGTGTGAGAGTTTTGTTGAAGCTTGGCTCAGTTTATGTGGCTTTTTTCTTCAGGCTTTGTCAGACTATTGCGTCGGATGTTTGAATAAAAACGGTCTTTACAGAAACATAGGAAACGTCTTTCCTGAGTTATGTTATGTCTTTATCCTCCTGCAATATAAGCTGCTTTTGCCGCAGCAACGTGAGCTTAAAACCAGAGGATCCGTGGATCTCCTCGGTGTGCAGTGTAAAGTTCAGGAACTCATCGATAATGATAGGATGTGTATCAGATATCGATTTGGTAATGAATGGTGCATTGATAAGGCTGTGGTTTATGATCTACTTGGAGATGTATGGCATTGTATTTATTTGTTTTTTCACGCTTTTGTAACATCTTGCGTAAACAGTTACGCCACGTTTACCTAACTCGCACATACAGTGTGTTTAGGTGAAGTGAAAGCAGACACTCATGGTGAGGTTTGTTTTCTGTCCATTTATCTACGTTGTTGCCTTAGAGGTCGCAGGAAGACAAGGCATGAACAGAATATTAAAGGGAAACGTGAAGTCGCCAAACTACGGTCACAATTTCGACCATTTAAGGCATTTATTGCATAATACCTATAATGCAGATGCTTTTATAAAACACATCTTTACATGTATGAATAGAAATGGCATTATAAAGATGTTGGCAGGTGTTCTATAAATCAAACGGTACTGGTTAAAATGACACATGAACTTCTATTGCTGCCTTTTCCGTTAATCCCCAATAATCTGCCATAGTAACCCTGAGAGGGCGGTAGTGTGTGGCGGTTAACGATGATAAAGAATGAGATTTGATCTATATTGAGGACTATTTTGGGATCACATGCATTCCGAATTCACTGTAAGGACGTACTGATCGATTGTATTTTGTAGATGTGATATTTGAGTCTTGCGGTTTTTTTGCACAATCTATTGCGGACATTAAATATGCAGTTTTCCTAACGGGATTTAGTGACAGGATTATGTCTCCCTGTCTCTGGGTACAACACTACATTTAATCTTTCTGCCGTTTCCTCACGACGCGCACGCACGATTACCGTGCACATCAATCCATAACACGGCGTGTCATTGAAACGAGGGACCCCCGGTGTTTACCGCATCATCGTTGCGTCATGATGATTGCTTTTGCTGCGTGATCGTATGTGCGTGTGCGTGTGCGTGCGAGTATGTGTGTCTCAGACCTAAGCAGGTTAATTTAGTGTGTGTTGGGATCTGGGGAGAATATTGTGCTATTTATAACCTTGCAGCAGCGACATGTGCCCGACATACACATCCGCGCGCACATACACGTACAGAAGCACACATGACAAATTAAAAGAAAATTATACTCATATCCTGTTGTACATTATTGACATTTGAAAGTTTATTTTAATTCTTCTCAGTCAAAAATGTGCGTTTTGTACCTTTTAAATAATAGAAATGAATGTAGAGATGCGTTGCACATTGCGTGTAGTGTCCATCTTATAAAAACTTTAGATGCAAATCCAAGAACTGCAAAGTCTGTCAAAAATACTCAGTTTAAAGGTTGAGGCAATAAGTCTAGACAAATGTTTTAGTAAGATAGCAGCTCTGTGGCCTCCAATGCTGGATCACTCTAAAGTCCTTGAGTGACACAGATGCATTAAGACAAAGTACAACCTGACTACAGGGGACAGGAAAAAGAAACATTTTCTAGTACTAGGCTCTCTTCATGTGTAAAACGATAAGGTTATCTATTGTACAATTGTTGCCTTAATATGTTAATATTTACTCAAGGTTATAAAGGTTGGTTGGTGCCCAAGTCCTCAGCCCCTCCTTCCTGTCCTTCCCCTCTGCCCCCATTTCTTGATTCTCATCCTTTGGTCTTTGAGTCTGTGTGTGTGTGTGTGTGTGTGTGTGTATGTGTGTGGTTGGGCCTCTCAACACTGCCGGCTGGTTATTGTAATACTACTCTATCCTCGTGACTGGAGTTACAGAACAGGGCTGCAGCAGTCATGTGAGTTGTAGTGTAGGGAGGGGAGGGAAAAGGGAGGCGTTTGCCTGTGACGTAGATGTGACTGTCTGTCCTGCCCCTCTTCTCCCGCCCTCCTTCCTACCCTCAGTGAGCATGTGACTGCTTTCCTTCCCTTTTTCACAGTCCACCTCAGTCACTGTTGAAGACACACTTGCACATATACAAGTTCACATGTTGACTAAAAGCTCTTCTTTTATCTTCCCATCTTGTTCTTTTATTCAGTCATATTTCTATTCATTTCTCCCAAGGCAGATTGTGATATTTCTGGTGGCATGCATCATTTGAGAAAAAAAAGTTTTCTTTAAATGTAGCTTTTCCAAAAAACTGGTTCTTTTTCCAAAAAAATAGTTAAACAATTCACTATCTTATTTGTTTGCTGTTCTGTAACTGGGAGATGAGCATGTCTTCCAAAAGCAGATGAAAACTTCATGTCATATTACGTTGACAGCAGAGTAAAACCCAAAACATATTGTGAGACCTAGCGTGTGGCGTCTGCCCCCAAAACACACCCTCATCAAGGCCTGCCTGGTTATTTGTCGTTATGTTCTTGTTTTACCAGTTTCTGATAATGCATAATGATGTCCTGAAATGAGTGGAGTCTGTTTATGTTGTGCAGGACCAGATTAAATAATAGTGAGCAGTACTTAAAAAGGGTATTTCAACTGACCTCATGTTCACGCTGACTTACTGATAGAACTAAGTTTGCTATAAGGTCTAGTTACACTAAAACGATCTTCCGCTGAATCAAGTGTGACGACTTCCGACTGTCCAAGGTGTATTCTGAGAAGATATTACCCTGGAATATGAATTATACAACTGAACTTAACAGTAAACCAGGTTCTACTTCAAGACTATAAAGATACCTTGTGGTTATCTTTACACAACTACAGTCTAGTGGACACCAGGTCAGTTTAATGACAAATCAGGTTTGAATCATCGTGGTACCTTAGACTTGTTACTGACCTCAGGCTCCAGTTTTATGTCTACAACTGTTAGCCGGTTATAGAGTGCAGTCGGCACTTCACATCTATTTCTGTGCTAATCATTGACTAGGTATGGAGGGCCAGCATTGGTCCGTTCAAAGGGATTGACTTTGGAAGATCAGGCTGTCTAAACGTCACTCATATAGTCCTGCTGAGACAGGGCACAACCACCCATGAGGCCTCGTGGTAGTAAAATATTAGCTGCAGGCTGTTCTGTTCTCCTTAACAGAGCCGGTTTTCTGGTTAATCTGCTGTTTTTTTCCATGTACGTGTTATATATTTACTTTAAGGATCAAATAGTGTCTAAAGTGTGGGTTCTGCGATATCACATGTAGTGACTAACAACTCCATAAGGGGTTTGTAAGTAGTTTGAGTTTCATTTAAGTATTGCAAAGTTGAGTGAGGTGAAGAACAAGCTGCACTGGTGGTCGTACTGGGATCGTTAAGTTTTATTGCAAAGAGGGTTCAGAGCTGCATCAGTGTACAGTACCATTATTACTTTCTTAGCAAACTCAATGACAATCAATTTTCCAGTCCCCTTAAACGTTAACTTTGAGGTGCATAAGTGCAATCACTTTAAAGCAACATGTCATTCCTAAACAAAATTAGTCTATGCCTCCTAGTTTGCGTCCTTGGTGCATTGCTGTTGTTTATCATGATTTGTATTCTTCGTGATTAAAGTCATCCCTTAAGGCATTTGAAGCATTAAACGCCTACATGTACTGAAAGAAAAACCTAATAGCGCTTACTGTGCTGCTGTGAACCTCATACTGTCTGTCAGCACTTTATTCTGTAACCATGATGCCTTCTGTTTGTGTGTGTGTGTACTGTCCATACAGCAGGTCGTCAGCAGTTACCCATGGCTATCAGATAATGGCGTCCTATTGTGGCACGGAAGTCACAAAGTCTGACTGAACACATTTAGCCCAATGCTCAGCAACATGAATCTGCATCTTTTTTTGCCCCAAGAATCACAGTTTCCTGAATCAAATTTATCTTCTCTAGATCTTACTGGAGGTCTTCTACAGATTGAATAAACGAGGGGTACCTGTAAGTAGAGTATCAAACTAGAAATCCTCTTCCGACCGAGTCAGAAAGGTTGTCACTGTAAATTTCATGTGGTCTTTCCTGCGTCTTCCTCCCTTTGAGGTCAGGACTATGATAAGGCTGAATCATGCTCCAATATTTCTGTAAAGTTCAAGGTCCCTATGTGGAAACAGCTTGTGTTGTTGTCTAACCATTTTTGTAATCACTCTTTGTCTTGATTGTTCAAGAAAAGTGACTACACCACATCCTGCAGGTAGAAGGATGTGTGGTATAAACCTGACAATGACTGAAGTGTGACACTGACAGTCAGTCAGTCAGTCAGTCAGTCAGTCAGGCAGACAGACGGACAGTCAGCCAGTTCAGCCAGTCAGTCAGAGTGGAGGCTTTCAGGTTTTACCCGGGATTGATAGACACAGGT